AACAGAAAAGTATAATAGATTGCATGTCTCTTGATGACGAGTGCTGCGGAATGAGGCTGTCATCTAGATGGAGCAGAGAAAGTGGAACATGGTGACATGTCAGCCAAGAGACCTGGCAGACACCACCTTGGCCGAGGGATCAAGGTTGACTTCGCCAGCTGTGAGCTGTGCTGACATCTTGCTGTCTTCTGGGTAGTATCATGAACCAGGTGCATCCTCTTGTCGGGATCTTCCCCAAATCCAGAACCTTAATCTAATCATGAGAAAACAACAGCCAATCCCAATTTCAGGGACATTTGGCAAAATACCCCATCAGTGCTACTTAAAAGTGTCGACGTCAGCTGGGCACAGTGGTTCAACCCTAGGTAATCCCAGCACTTTGGGAGGTCAAAGCTGGCAGATCATGAGGTCAAGACATCGAGACCATCCTGCACAGCATGATGAAACCCTGTCTCTACTAAAAACACAAAAATTAGGTGCATGATCAGTCGCTGCTACACTGGAAAGATGGTGGAGCAAGAGCAAAGAAAAATCCCTTTGGTTCCAGAAAACCTCCTGAAAAAGAGGAAGGCTTATCCAGCCCTCAAAGCCACTCAGGCAAAGCAGGCATTTTGGGCAAAGAAGGAACAGAAGAAAGGAAAAGGGCGCAGGTCTAAGCAACTAGAATCATTCCTACATGATTCCTGGCGGCAGACACGTGACAAGGTGCGTGTCAGATGACTGGAAGTGAAGCCTCACGGCTTGAAATTGCCAGATAAACATTCCTTGACCTTTGTCGAACACATCGAAAGGATTGATGGCGTGAATTTAGTGGTGCAGAGACCCAATACAAGACTTTGCCTAAAGAAAATTTTTAGGGGTGTCTTTGTAAAAGTCAGCGCCCAGAACCTAAAAATGCTGTGTAGAGTGGAACCTTATGTGATCCAAGGATTTCCAAACCTGAAGTCTGTCCGGGAACTCATTTTGAAATGTGGACAAGCCAAATTCAAGAATAAGACCATATATCTAACAGACAACACAGTGATTGAGGAGCATCTGGAGGAGTTTTGTGTCATTTGCGTGGAAGACCTCATTCATGAAATTGCCTTCCTGGGGAAGCATTTTCAGGAGATCTCATGATTCTTGTGCCCTTTCCACCTCTCAGTGGCCCATTATGCTACCAAAAATAGAGTGGGCTTCCTCAAAGAGATGGGCACACCTGGCTCTCAGGGTGAACGCATCAATCAGCTCATCCGCCAGCTGAACTAGACCCAGGTGAGGCAGGGCTGAAAACTGCCCTTGGGCTGACTGTGGATGGGCCATGCCTTGCCACTTTAGAAGTTCTTTTTTGCATTTACTGGTTTTTAAGAGTAACCTTGAGCTTGGGAGGAAAGGGCAGGCTGGTACAAGTAGATGGAGGCCTGCTGGGAGCAATGAATGCCTGATTAGGACGTGGGGCTATGCATAGCCTAGCAGTCATAGGCTTACAAATGTCGAGTAACTAAGAACAGTATCGCTGCTGTCATTTAGATGGAAATGAGGAAAGAATATTAATAACTGATTTCAAAAAGGACTTGAAGATGTGAAATCATCTATTTTGCTGAAGAAATCTTAACTCTTTTTGAAATTGCTTGTTATTCCTGTTATTACTCTAGGTGCCAAACTGCAATAAATTTTTATCAATGAAGTGGAAAAAAAAATTAGCCGGAAAGTTGGCGGGCGCCCCGTAATCCCATGTACTCAGGAGGCTGAGGCAGGAGAATTGCTTGAACCCGGGAGGCGGAGGTTGCAGTGAGCCGAGATACAGCGTCACTGTTCTCCATCCTGGGTGACAGAGCGAGACTCCGTCTCAAAAAAAAAAAGAAGTGTCGAGATCATGAAAGGCAAGGAAACTCTGGGAAATGGTGCCTGGCCGGAGGGATCTAAGCAGACATGGCGACTAAATGCCATGTAGACTCCTGGGACAGAAGAAGACATCAGTGGGAGAGCTGGTGACCCCCAAGGAAGTCCAGGCTGTCCCAATGTCTACTTCCTAGTTCTGAGGAACGTGCAGTGGTCACATGAGAGGTCCACGTTTACTTTAGGGAAAGCAAGGAGAGTGTATCTTGGACCTCTCAGAATTGCTTTTGTAACTTTTCTGTACATTCAAACTGTTTTAAAACCTTTTTTTTTTTCTTAAGAAAATGTTTCAAAAAGAAAAATAACCAAGCCGAGTTCTGAGGGACAAGCAGGAGTTGACACCGTGAGTCTCAAAAGTGGGTAAAGGGGCATGCACAAAATTGAGAGAGGGTGCCTGTGGCAGCATGCGGGGTGGGGGGGAAGGAGAGGATAGGGTGGGAGAGAACGAGAGGATAGTGTTGGAGGCGCATCCCTTCATTGGCCGTGAGGACACTGCATGGCGTGCGGAGGTGGGAGTGATAGTGATAATAACAGGCAGCACTTGGAGGCTGCATCCTGTGTGTCTGGCACTTGCCTAAGCCCTGTGTGCCCTCTGAGTTAATGCAGAGGTGAACCGAGAGGCACCTGGGGCAGGGGCTGGGGGAAAGGAAGCAGGTGACATCTCCGGTTCTCTCCAGCTTCTTTAGAGCAGGTTCACAGTACTGACCCTTCTCTGTCACCCTTCTCCAAGACCACCTTGGTGGGAGTGAGGGGTTCTAAGGTGACAACAGACACAGGAGCCACAGAAACAAGAGAGACACTCTGACTCCCGGGAGAACCTAGTATGGGCATCCATATGCCCTTTCTGATGGTGACTTTCTAGGCAGGCATGCAGAGTGCAGATAACTGGCTGCTCCCACACATGTGAGCACACACGCACACACACAGCCTCCTGCAGCACTGTGGCTTCTGGGTGGGTAACACAGCTACTGCCTTTGATTGCACTGGGGTGAGCACCCATTGTCTGCTGGGGTGGGGAGAGGGCAGGCACTTTCCCTGCGCGACCCCGTTTCAGCCTCTCAGTGCCCCGCGGAGGTGGTCCCTGTTGTCCCCACTGGACAGAGGAAGAACCTAAGAGTTAGAACCCCCAGCACAGTGTCTCCACTAAATAGAAGCCCGTTTCTCTCCCAGCCTCTCCCAGAGGGGCTGCTCTGAAGCGTGTGGGTTTGATCAGGATAATCAAGGTAAATGATCCTCATCTTGATCCATCACAAATGTTAGGGTACAAGGAGAGTGGGTGGAGTGTCTGCTGCCTGGTATCCTAAGCTGGGTGACTGCAAGCAGACATACACCTGTCCACCTCTCAGGCCACGCAGGGAGGATAAGTATCATTCGGTCAGTGTTACAGGGTTGTTGAAGGCTCAGAGAAGACCAGGCGACGGGCGACCTGCGACCTCCCTATAGCAGTGTTTCTCAAACTCTGATTAACGTCACTTGAGGAGCTTGTTAAAAATACGTATTCCTGGCCTTGATCAGATAAATCAGAATATTTGAGGCAGAGCCTCTAAGCTCTTCCTTGGTATTCAAATGCACACGGGTTTTTGATGCTTCACCACCTATAGTACAAGAGAGGGCAGGACTGTCCTGTTCAGTGCGCTGTGCACCAGATGCTCAGACCCCAGGAACTCCCTTACCACCCCTGCTCCCTGCAGTGCCACCCACCCAGCTTTCATGACAGAGGGTGGGCCTCAGACTCCTCCTAGAATAGGCCCAGAGGCTCCTTGCTATGTAGGCATCATTTCCTCCAATCGCTGCAGAGCACTCACCAGGTAACAAACACACACACCCAGGCGAGTTCCTCATGATTGTCCCCACGCTGATATCCCAGACTCTACAAGTCGTCAGCTGCTGCCTAGGACTCTCTAAGTCCTTGAGCTTGGAACCTCTACCACACACAAGCGCTGGGCACGCCCCGAAGGCAGGGAAGTGCTGATCACATACCCTCGGTGACGTGGGAATTCCAGATAATGAGTAACTTTTTAGCACAAGTACCCATGCCTCATGAATTTTGAGATATTTTTGTTTGCTAAATCTGACAATTCTACATGTAGGGAACAGGAATGATTGAGAAGCACCTACTCTAATGGCCAGAAGCTGACAGCCTTCCCCGTAGAGATGCGGGAAGTCCTGGGGAGAGCGGGAAAGGCCAGGCATGCCCTGACAGCGGGAGTGGGGCTTGGGTCAATGGAGGGTCAGTGCTATGAGGAAGGATCCTGGGAGGCTTCCTGCTACATAATGTGAGGACCGGAAGCATAAGAAAGGATTGACTTATCCATCGTTGTATCAAACTGAAGCCTGAGACAGAACATTCTGTGAGGTCGCCTTGTTCACTGCAGAGGAGCTGACTCACACGGTTTTGTCAAGGAAGTTGCAATCTGTGCCAGGCGTAGCCAGTCCAGCAGTAGCAAAGAGGCTTTTCTACTGCAGGTTG